GTTTCCATCCACTGTGCACCACTTCCAGAATCTTCTCCCCAGAATGTATGCAGTCACTACTATATTGCCTACAAATTCCAGCTGAGTGAGCTGGGAGATTTATCTATATATTACAACATGTCTTCCACCAAATGCATAACAAAGTCTTCTGGGCAGTGTAAAATGTGCAGATTCACACAAATGCAACTAGAATATAAACCACAGTCAAGTATATCCAAAGCCACTGCAATAGCTGATGTAACCAATACAGATACCCTCACTTGGTCTAACTCCTGTCATAGGTGATCTGTCAAATAACCAAGGCTTTTTCAGTTCCCAAACCTGAACCAGTATCTGAGAACATCTACATGAGGCAGTTGCCTCCTTCTGCCTACTGGTAGGGCTGACTCCAAAACATCTTACATGGACCTGAGTAGTCTTCAGTTCTGACACAATTTCAACATTGGTACTTACTGACCAAACACTGACTACTGCATTTGGTAATGTCACTCTATTCATGTTGGTAGACTTTATTTATTTATTTATTTATTAAATTTATACCCCGCCCCTCTAGACCATGTCTACTCAGTGCGGCTTATAGCATAAAAAGTCAATATAAAATATAGATAATCATAAAATACAATTGGCATGTTAATTAATACAATTAATTAGAAGAAAGATTACCAAGATGGGATAAAATAGGAAAAAATATAAGACTTAGCTGACAGGAGGGAAGGCCAAGCGAGGATGAGAAATGTGTGTTCCTTCACATGTTGTTGGACTACAGCTCCGATTAGCTAGCTGTACAGTTAAGGTTGAGGGGAGTTGCAGTCCAACAATATCTTGTTAAAACAGTGGTGAGATTTTCAAAGACATTATGAAATGTTCAAACACTGCTTTGTTTATTCAGTCCTCTGACACCTTTAATTACAGTACTTGGGAATACTGTAATTTCACATCTGTTTATGTTTTAAAGATGAGTTTGTATATGACTTTTGGGTGCTTTGGGGCAGAAAAGCAGTCCACAAAGGAACAGATGAAAATTATGCCTTCACTGTAATATCTGTAATCAGTGTTTTTAAAAATTATAACAGTCACCTAAACATTCAAAATGAGCTAAACTTGGACTATTTGGGAGAGTGGTTTTTAAATAAACAAACAAACAAACAGTTACATTTAATACTCCTGCTAATTCCTGTTGAGCATAAGGAGCACACTGCATGAATAATGCCCAATGGTACAGTTAGTTTTTTATCACTGAAATTATCATCTTACCAATGTATGATTTATGTTGCCATTTGAAGAGGAAAAATAAAGAAACTATCATGAAATTCAGTGAGTCTCATTACTGCCTGGCCTGGCATCGATTTTTATGCAGAGCTGCTGAGCATTAAGGAAAGAACCTTATGCAACCTGCAAATTTATGTGCTTTTACCCCTGCTGTTGCTTTACAGAACATCCATCTTAAAGGAGAGGGAGAGAGATGCTAGTACTACAATATTTCCTAGTCACTCTGACACGAACTCCATCACTGCAGCTTTAATGCAATATCTGCTCTACTGGGTTAAAAGGATTCAAAGCATGTGTTGACAGACTTCCCAGTTAGGGACTTTAGAATATGGATTCTGGCATCCCTTTGCCAAATTTCATTAGTGCTTTTTAGATGCCTTGGCTTCTGACTGAGACATTGTTTCAGATGCACAGTACATCAGGTACAAGAAAATGTGGATCCTCCTTTGAATGATGATACTCTTGCTAATTATATTTTTATATAGCAGTATATCTATATAGATAAGATGGCTGATGTGTCTGTTTATTGATATGTGCCAATAATATCTGTACAGCTAATACGTTTATAGACTTGTTATCTATGTCCGTCTAGAGATATGAACTACAGTATTTGCCTATTCCGACTTTTACAACCTTCTCAAAGGTTTTGAGGGTTTATTTTCAACAAAGAAAGCAGACAAGTAGGATCTCAATTTAGGATCAACACCTGGATGTTTTACCCACTATTTCTAGCTGTCGACCATTTACCACCCAAAATAGCCTGCACTGGGATCTGGGGAAGAGAGGGCAGAACAGATAAATACATGCCCCAAATAATTTTCCTTGCTTCACTGAATCAAGCAGCCATCATAGATTGACTATAGGCCAAATGTCTTTTGCTAAAATTTGTATTTTATAAAGATAGAGGCATTTGGCATTCAAGCAGTGATTCCTAGTAATCCCCGGGAATTTTTCCCACTGGAACAAGTCCACAGCATCAGGCACAATCTGTCAAGCAGTCCAGCTGTGTAACCTCCATTTCTTTCAGTGGGGTTCCTACAAGTCAGCCATGCATGCTGCATTAAGCTCAAAGGAAGTTACACAGCAGTGGTGATTGTTAGATGGCACCTTCTGTGTGCATACATTTTAAACGGTTAGTCCTAGCATCCCACTGCATGGCAGAGTGTGGGCAAGTAGGTGAAACATGCAGGAATTTTTTTCTCAGCAAGTAGAGAGAAGGGCTACCACAATTATCATTAGTTAAAAAGGAAATAAATGGAATCCCAGAAATACTGTGCCATGAATGATTTTTCTTTTGATTTTTCTTTTAATATCATTACAAAAGGGAAAGGTGTGTTTTAGTTCTAGGGTACCTTACAACCGATCACATGTATTATAGCAGAAGCTTTTGTGGATGCTGTCAACCAACAAGTGCATCAAGTTTAAACTTCAGATTAACAAATCAAAATATTGAAGAGTAGCAGCTGTGAACACTGGGATCAAAGGGAATTGAAATGCAGAAAGTACGTAATAACATTGTCAATTCCTTGATTGGTGGGAAACAGATTTTGTATTGTTAGGTTCAACAGTGCTGCAGAAGTGAAGACCAGACAAGGATCACTAGCCAAGACTAACAGGACATAGGAGGTTGCTTTAGACCAAGGTCAGGCTGCTAGTCAAGGTAGCCTGGTAACCCAGTTAGTCAAAGTAGCCTAATTTGACTGGCATCAGCCCTTCTACTGCCTGATCATTTTTACTTTAGATGCCAGAGATTGAACCTGAGAAGTTCTGTTGTGCAATGTAGGTGCTTTACTAGCAAACTATAGTCCTTCCTCCTATTAATATGCAATTGCGCATCTGAGCGCAGATGCAGTATCTGAGCACATGAAGCATGGCGAGAAGTCAGAGCTAACTAAAGGCAAGTTTTGTCCAGATTTGTGTAGTACTCATTGATACAAAATCGCCTAGGTTCTCCAGTTGATCCTAGAAGAAGAGAATTACCAAGTTTTTTGTGCCTCTTATGCTGGGGTGACATAACAGAGGAAGGCCATCATGAGCAGATTCTTTCCTCTGGGCATGCAGATTGCAGTGGATGCCTGGCTAGTTGTGTTTTTTGGGAGCAGAATACAGGCCTAGATGGACTTGCAACTTTCCTGAGAAGTTAATTCCACTGCTGAATTATTACTATTATAGTTATGAAGCCTCCTGGTAATTAATCTTCCCTAGCTGAAAAAAGCTCAGTCTTACATTATCCTCACTGGCTAAAGGTGATTCTTTGTCTTTTTGCTTTTCTCAGCTCTTTTTACAGATTTAATTTGACTTTTATGATGAAGGCCCAACCAAATAAAAAGTCAAAACAATTAAGACAGTATAGTTAAAAGGTATTAATGATACATTGTCACTTGCTGCTTTCCACAGAAATCAGAAGAAATTCATAGCAGCTTAATTATATTTTAATACATTTATTCCTAATAAAAGAAATTAAATACCTGTACAGGATATGCAACCAGAGAGATTTGTCAAACCGCAGTAGCCATTGCATTCCAGACAAATTTATTTGTCACATTCCTTACTTTGGTTGGTCTTAGCTAACTCTTTTCTTAATCAGGAATATGAGAAAACATATCAATTTGTCTAAATCCCACTGAATAATAGTATGACCGTTACCTTCCTTTGGAGATGTAGCCAAATATGTCCAGGTGAATAATTTTTCATATATTTAACAACAGCTGAAACTTGGCATCTGTACATGACCAGTAAACCTTACTCTATGTTTGCAAATGATCTTCTATAATAATGGCTTATACATATGCATGAACTGAGGAATGGCTTCCTAAACTATTCCTCTTCTTCTCTACTTTGTAAAAACAGCAACAACAACAAAAACAAATTGAAAACCTCAATACTGAATGCTGTAAATATGTATAGTTTCCATTATTGTAAATTGAAAAGCGGCAAGGGCTGTAAAATTTCTGGAAATAAAATACCATATTTTGGCATATATGTCAACATTAGTTACTAACATTTCATTACAAAAATTAAGCTTAAATTGATGTTTAATTTGGGAAACAGACTTGAATATGATCTCTGTTTATGGAAAGCAAATAGAACCACACTTCTGTGTAAACAGATACATTTATACTGAAACACCAACCTAAAAATATTCTATGATGAAAATGCCTTAAGATTTAATATCTTAATATATTCTGCCAGATATGTTATGAAGGGAAATGAGGAACCAAATGCAAATCATGAACTATGAGTTTCCAGTCAGTTATTTTAATTGGTTGGGAGTCTAATGATTATTCAGGCTATTAAAGTCGTTAAGAATCAACCCACTCAGAGCCCATCTTCCAGTTCTAATAATGTCAGGGACTATTGGTTTAAAAATCTCTCCCCTTTCTTTCTTCCGATTTTCAAATGCAACTGCCATGTTTTAATTTGTTTTTCAGAAGCATAGAGCAGACGGGATCTAGCCCGTTTGGAAAGATGCTGAGGTACAAAGTTCTCTCCCACCAACAGCATCCCTTTTGCATCCCAACATTCTCTTGGTCCTTCCTCCCAGCGCTTTATTTCAAATCATTTGTAGTCCTTTTCCAGTATATGGCCATACATCCCTCTCAGACACATTCCTTTCATTTCATTGCAAATTATACCCTCCCAACCATTTAGTACTGGAAGTCCTGTTTGTCATGTAACATCCATGCACAGACTGCTGAGAGTTTTTTTTTAAAAAAAATGAAGAGGCTTACCTGAGGAAAATAATTCTAATTCGTCTGCTTCAGTTTTTGCCTGTCATAGTAGCTGAGGTACAGCCCTGCTATAGTAGCTGTTAGCTGGCTGTTCTGCTATCTGTTCTCACACTCCTTATATTTCTCTTTTGCCTTTAGTTGGTGGCTGTTCTTGGATGCTTTTTGCCTTGCTTGTGCTTCTGTGCCTCAGATGCCAGCCGCCTGCTCCCTTCCTTCCTTCCTTCCTTTCTGCCTGCCTGGGCCGTGGCTAATGCTTGCGTTGTGAGCGACAAGCTCCCTCTAGTTAAAGACTGTCTCTCTGCCTCTCTTTTCTCTGTGGTGAACCAGTTGCAGCTTTGGAGGCTGCTTCAGCTACTATTAGTACCTAAAGGGCAATAGCAAATCTCATCTAAGCGTTTAACTGCCACCTACTGAATAAAAGTGGGATGCACATTGTCTGAAAGGGATGAGCTTTGGCTTTTCTCATCTATTTTTGGCTGCTTTAGCCAACAAATCTCTGCCATGCAGTTAGCCTTGCATAGTTCTATGTGATGGAGAGTGGTTGTACAGTATTTGCAAACATACAGCAGGCTGCAAATCAAATCGCAAATTGCACTGTAGTTGCACCCTTACTCTCGTCAGGGTCAAACCACCGGTTTAGGTAAATGTGCATTTCCTCCCCTTATCCACTGAAGTATGCAAATCTTCCAGAGTTACATGCCTGAGAAATCAGACAGGAAAACAAAACCGTAATTATCTCCCAATGATAATTTACAAAAACAAAAACAGATTAATATTCTCAAATGCAAAATATGGCAGGCCTGTCTTAGAATAAAAAAGGTATTATCCTCATAAAGGAACACCACATTTGATGATGCATTAACTGTGCCATCCCCCAGAAGGAACCCTTCTTCAATAGCCTGACAGATCCCACACAATCCATTAGTGGGTCTGTTTCATGGCTATAAATTAAGTAAATATGACTGTGATGAATATTGCAGAAAACCAGCAGAGTTTATTTTTCCCTTAAAGACTATAATGTCTTATTTGCCAGACTGAGTATATTTAGCTCTTGTAAGAAAGGAAGAAAAGTGGACCAAGTGGAGCCTTTGTGTTATTAATAGTGCTACCCTTAGAACCTCTTACTATTGTTGAATTAAAATGAATAGCTATCATCCAGGGTCCAGAATCCAGCGTCTTGGGGTCATTACCACCTATCCTAGCATTGAAATCACTACCCATAGTAACATAAGCTGACAGAAAACATGAAAGCAGTGTTAAAAACTATTCCTCCAGTGTTGACCAAATAGTGTTCAGTTTATCCTTCTGAACCACAGGGCACAGATTGGGAGATCAGTAATGGTTACATCCAGAGATAACAAAACTAAGCATATCCAGCTAGCATTGAGTCTGTCCCATGTTTAATGGAAATGACATTCTGATTTACAGATTTAAAATGGCTTTATTTGGCATATGTTTTGGTGCTAAATATTTCAATGAATTTAGAACTGATTATGAGTTCAATTCTCCAATGGGCCTCCTATGAAATAAGCCAGCCAGTGTAGCCTTGGGAAAGCTGCACAGGCCCGATGTACACTCAGAAGAAAGGATGATAAACCAGTTCTGAATGCTCTGTATTAGGAAAGGATATACTTAGAAAACCCTGGTATTATTATTTGAAGACTGCGGCTCATATATTCTTTTTCCTCTTATGCTAAATAAAACTTGTTAGTCTTTATGATTCCACAAGACTCAGTGTTGGTATTGTGGTGTTCTGCACTTAAACTGTAATGCTGAGCGAAGCTTGAACTGTGACTAAAATCAACTTTGAACATCAAAGCGATTAAACTGTTTATCAGCTGGCATTCAGAGCCAAAACTGGTGCCTCTCCAGGAGTGTTGGACTACAATTCCCATTCTTCCCTGCCAGCATGGCTTTGTTGGCTATGGCTTGTATGAAGACTGGCTTAAGGACAGAAGGCATCTTAGAATGGTTGGGAAATGATTACTACTTTAAGGAACAGCAAGTTATCATACAATAATATAATATTATTATTGCCCTAAATATTATCTTTTAATGATGTAAGCCACCTTTGTATACTCATTATTTTTAGCTTTATATACTGTCTTTTAATGCTTTAAGCCACCTTGGGTCATTTTTAAGGAGAAAAGTGGAGTAAAAATATTTTAAAACACATCTACTTCCTCACAGCGCTTCTGTAATGGATATAGAAATGAAAGGATTTTACTGCCAAAGATATTCTCTATCCCTGCAGAGCAACATCGTTTCACACAAGACAGGAAACAGAAATGGATGAAAAGTTAAACTATCCTTAAAATGGTGGTTAGTTTTTAAAAGAACTTCAACAAAAAAGAAGAAAGTTTGAAACTCAACAAAACTTGGCTCCCAACACTGAAAAATACAACGTTCAAACGGTCAATGAACTCTACCCAGCCACAAGGACTGGAGATCACTACACACAAAAGACCAGCTAACAACATCCATCAATCACAGTGACAGATAATCTCTCCTCCTTATCACAACAATACACCCACAACACAAACACACTGATCACCATAATCACCCATCTCCTGAAAAGGGCAAAAGCTGATTTCACAGCCATAAATACTCAACTCCCAAACAAACTGGAGCAGAGCACAAAGTGCTGTCCTCTGAAGATGCCGGCCACAGAGACTGGCAAAACATTAGGAAGAACAACCTTCAGAACACAGCCAAAGAGTCCGAAAAACCCACAACAACCAGAGGAGTTACAGTTTGCTTGCAAAAGATCCACCCTGGCTTGGAGATCCACATCTGTTAAAGGTTTAACACCTCTCTTTTCTCTGTGGGGAAGAAAACATGTTGCCAGGGAGTGACCCTGTTTTTGTTGCTTCACATGTATTAAAAACAGATATCCAGAAATCTCAAAAATTATTTGTTCAATATCCTTTATGGTCATAGTGTTTGGAAAGTGGATTCTGGCTGTTTATTTATAAAATATACACTCAAATAGTATTTTGTAACACAAGTGCCATTTTTATGCATGTGATACCTGGAGTTGGTTTTTGTGTTTCAGATGTAATTCTTCTATGATCTGCAATACTTCTGCAAATTAAGATAACTTTTATTTTCTGTTCCACATGACAGAAAGCATCAACACTTGCAGAAATTGAATAGCAGGCCCAAAACAACAGTTTTTACCAATGAAGACTTAGATTCTGAACACTGCAAATTGCAAGGAAGTTCTTTATGTCAAGGTGAACAAAATTATTCACCTCGTGTAGTCTAGCCTTCTATGCTGATAAATGTCTTACACAAAATCAGTCACACTTTTTAAAATAAGGGCTGTATTTTTTATTTGTTTTAAACAGTAACTGTTACATACAGCACTGATGTTACCTTCTATGCTGATAAATGTCTTACACAAAATCAGTCACGCTTTTTAAAATAAGGGCTGTATTTTTTTATTTGCTTTAAACAGTAACTAATCAAATTAAGGCAGACATTTGAATTGTTAGGACACACAATATTTTTGGATAGGCTGACAATTAAGGAAATGGAAATTTATTCAGCCTATTTTTGGTTTGGTAGGTTACTATAAGAGGGACTGACAACAGAGCCAAAATATAAATAGTAAATTTGTTTGTTAAATTATAAGATATCTCACACCTTTGCTAACAATTAAGAGTAGCAAATATGAAGGATTTAGTGGTATACAAATTCATTTACATTTAGATGGACGATTTATTAAAGGTGAAACAATTAATACATTTTTTAAAAATCCTCTGGATCCAAGGAAGTCAGTGTCATTAAATACTGGTACAATTCTGCAATTCTTTCCATAGAACATGCACTCAGATGCACAAGCCACCATACTGACCCAGTTACCTCAGCAACAGAGATGAATCTTCTCCCTTCATAAACAAGTAGGAGCAAGAACATAAACAGGTTTGAATGAAATGTGCGAAAGAGTAGAAGGCAGATTCTTTTGTGCAGGAGAATTTAACCTCTCAGAATGTGATGCAGCACCAGTCAACCCTCCAAAGTCGATGTATCCATGCTTTCTGACTGGCATAACAAGCATAATGGCAGGTGAACAACAGGATGTTATTTTGAAAGGCTCTTAAGTTAAGCAGCAGAATACATGTATGAGGTTTGAAAACACAATGAGGCCACAGGAGCTCTGACTCCACAGGACCTCAGGAGCCTTAAGGATCTGCCTTTGCATTTCTTAAAGTCAACTAAGATGCTTCCATGTTGCCACTCAATGTGATAGAGCTTTGACCAGTTACTTTGGCAACTGGAGGCATTTTCTGTTCTTACATCTGTCCCCTTGTGGACATATCACACTCCAATGCTGAAGCTGCAGAAAAACCGCCCATTTTACAGTACATATATCATTCAGAGATACACTTTCTCATTTTAATTCAGTGATAAAATGCCTTAGTGTTCCCTTGATATTTTTCTTACATTTGTAGAACATGTACTGAAATCTTTGTAAATAGATAAAATGCAGAAATTGCTACCGTAGCATTGATGGAAAAAACAGAGGGCAAGGAGAAAGAAGGAAGCACACAAACATTGCTGGAGCAATTATGGATACAAATGTATTATTGACAGCTGAGGGACCATGGTGCCACATAGGGCAGTAGATCCAAGCTTCAGGCTTGGATCTACTGTTGGACAATGAACCATCATCTCCCATCTCACTTGTTCAATTATGTAACTGGATGGCAGAATCCAGAATCCCATATTGGTGCCAGGCACTGTGTGGTTTCTCTGTTGCCTAGGAGTGTAGGTGTTCTCAGTCGGATGTGACCCTGAAGGCCTTCCCAACCGTCAGATCCTTTAAGTGGTTCCACACAATGGGGAAGATAGGCCTGCAAATGCTGTTTCCTTCCCTAAACTAGATTCAGCAAAGTGTCATTACTGCCAACCCAAGTTGTGACATTTAAAGAAGAAGAAGAAAAAGAATAAGGGTTGCCAGGCCTCAAGGCATCAGCTGGAATCTCAGGCAGTTGCTGTGATTTTCTAGTGCTCAGACAGGAAGGTAAATCTTGGGGCAAGCAATATTGGTTGAAGAAAAAAACTTGATTGTTGAGGGTGTGATGCAGTTTGAAAGCCTGAACGTTCACTTCTAACAATTTTCAGTTGTTTCAGAGCTTGCTGGCATGGCATGAGGTTTTTGTGTGAGTGTTTTACCTGTGCAATGTTGATGCCCCAAAAAGTTAAGAGTGAGGAGATGTGGTTTGGGATTTGGAGTCCAAAAAATGACAAAAGGCACATACCTAACCCACATTTCATTAATGAAAAGCAATTTGCTGCTATCCCTGCTCCATGCGATTAGTTACCATGGTTAAGGGGATAGGTAAGGGC